AGTAATAAAAAATGCGAGGCCAAAAGTGCGATTTAATTTTTGCGATTAATTTAGCATTTACATTAAGCAGACATTTGCAGGCAACAAGATACCGAAATTTGAAAGTAATATATTTAGGATATTTTGCTTGAGATGCCTTCTTTTAAAACTAAATAACAGTAACTAACTTACAGAAAATTTAGTTACTTACTTCTTCGCGTCGCAGTTTGCATAAAAGAAAATTACTCTGCCTACGAGTTCAAAAGATTTAATTAATTTGAAGCAAGTTTTCCATGAATATTTAAACTTCTAATTATTCCCTACGTCGTCTTTTGTTAAAGAAACGCATCTACCCAGCAGGGTAAGAAATGCATTTTCAATGAAGTACTTTTGAATCTGTTTATAGTAATGGATACGAGTTATCTCGAATATGCTGTAAGTAGACTGGGAATTTAAAATGGAGATAAAAATTTCAATTAAGTAGAACCTATTGCTGGGCAATATTCAAAATACATTTTTAAGAACAAAATCATGTACAAAATTAAAGAAATCAAACTTAAGTCAGGATGGTTCTAAAAAACACTTTATTAAAGAAGGGAAAAAAGTCATATACCGATGTCTCTCTTCTTCACATAGCAAAAGTATTCTATGCTAGATTAAGTAAATAGAACATTATTGATATTCTTTCTAAAAGTGTAATCTCATTGCATCCTGAGAAAAATTTAGAAATATATGTTTCAGGACCAGAATTTTAACCCTCATATCTTGAAAACGTTAATGATATTGTTGATAAATATTTACCAACATTCGTTTCGGTAAATGCATAAATCATGTGATTTAATAGCTACAACTTTTATATAAAGGCGAGTTAATAAAAATTATTTTAATTAAATATAAAGCATTGTTGCAAAATATACTCTAATTAATGCTCAAAGCTAAAAGATAATTAAAAATCGTGCGAACTTAACTGAAATTAGTTATAATTTCAGTGAGTGTAACTTTTCTGATAATAATACAGTAATGAACAGAAAACTCGTTTACAAACATATGTTCACGCAGAAATTATGCAAATAAAGCAAACAATAACAAATCATAAAAGAAACATGTTTAGCGCCATGCAAGTAATTTGGTTAAATATACAGCTATAATCTGAACACCATCAGATATTCTTAATAATATCAAAAACATGCCTTTTAGAGAAAGGCTATACGTGATGAATATTTGTTAGGCTAAGAGTAGTTCTGACACTGTTGGATTTTCAGAAAGCTGAATTTTTATCGAAAGCATGATCTGAAGAATGTAGACCTCATTTCAGGCAACAGAATAGTTAATTATCTTGCTGAGCAAACCTGTCAAACGGTAATTTAAAAAATAAAAATCATCATTTGTAATTGTTAGCGTAAAGAAACCTTTACGCTAACAATTACTTTTACACTAAAAGGTTTTTTTCCTCTGGATAATGCATAAATGGGTAATTAAAAAAGTGGTCTTCTGGCATGAAGATTATGCTTATGAAGCCTAAGGTAAACCGTAGATATGCTTCTGGAGTACCAGTAGTTGTTAAAAGTCACAAAATAACTGTCTAACACTTGCGTAATTGTTTCTTCATGCCGGCTATAAAAACCAATTGTCTTCTAGTACCATTTCTCTCAAAACAGCTTGAGCAGTAAAGTGATTAATTCTTCTCATAACTGCAAAGTGGTTCCTGATTCCCAAGATCATATTTGTGGAACGCTCAACTCTCCGAAGGCGTCCAACTGTGTTCTTGGCCTCAAGCTTACCGACTACTCGTCACATCTAGCCTTCATTAGACGACTTTCAGACATTACTGGCAACATTTGATCACTTTCAGACTTATAACTTTGTATCTAAGAAAATTTACTCGTGGTTTCTTTATTTGCTAGACTTTGTGCAAATACACTACCCGACATTGAAAATGCAGCACGAAGAAAGAGGGGCTCAAAAATTATGAAAATATCAGGGTAGACGCACGTCACCGAGTTATGCGAATGATGTGAAATAAGCAGCTCTCCAGCGCACGTGGAAAAAGATATAAGGGAAGGAACCTGAAGAACGTTCAATTTTCGTGTCGTTATTTCTGCTAGGGAAATCATTGTAGAAAATTTATTCTTGTCTCAAAAGAGCGTGTAATACAGAGACTGTAGGCCGTCGTCAACGGATGCAGTTCTAGAAGAGAGAGAATTTTACGAGGAGCATGGTGTTCGGAATACGAAGGGCGGGTTGGTCCATACGGCAAATCTCAGCTGACACACACCTGGACGCATCCACAGTGCACCGCCTATGGCAACGATGGTGATCTAAAAATGATGATGATCAAGGAAAGTGGCAAATTCGAGGGGTACAGGTGCAGGCAGAGTGATGTCAGCACACGTGAATCAACGCATCCTCTCACAAGCGTTGGTGCATCCGAAACAACTTCTACTTCCATTCTGAAGCGTGTTCAAGACACCCTTGGATGTTCCCATATCGACCAGAACCATTTGCCTTCGATAGTGGCCTGCACTCGTGGCGTCCGTTAAGAAGACTGCCATTGACCCCACATCATAGACGCCAACGTTTGCAATGGTGCTGGGCTGGAGCGATGCGGGGGACGGAATGGCACAGGGTCGTGTTCTCAGATGAGTCACGCTTCTGTTTCTCTAATGATAGTCGCCGTACAGGTCCAATCCGGGAGCAATTCTGGAACGCCCCACGGCGCGACAACGCGGCATCATGGATTAGGGCGCAATTGCATACGATTCCAAGTCATCTTTAGTTCGTGTTCAGGGCACTATGACGGCCCAGCGATACGTGAATGATATGCTGCGGCTGGTGACACTTCCTTACCTTCAGGGAGTGCCCTTTTCAGCAGGATATCGCCCAATTACACACTTCGCAAATCAGCCGAAGTGTTCGGCAAGGTGTACAGATGCTTCCCTGGCCTTCATTCTCTCCTGATCTCTCACCAATCGAAAACATTTGGGATGTGATTGGATGACATTTACACACCCTGCCATTGCCGCGTTCAGAAAATGAACTGTGGCAAATGGTTGACAGCGAATGAAGAGACATTCCTCAGGGCACCATTCGTTGTCTCATTGACTCTGTACCCTTCGTGTATCGCCGTTCAAGGTTGTCCAACCTCTCAGTCGATGCTGTTCTCGCTCTGTATCACGCATATCATTTCGAAATAACGATCACTTATTGGTTGTTGCTGTTTCTCTCTGTTTGCCGAGGTTCATCTGTTTCTGGCCACTCTTTCTTGATGTTGCATTTTCAATGCCGCGTAGTGTACCTGTGCAGCATTAGGGTTTTGTGTTCGTTAGCATGCAGTCACTTATTATAATTGCACTGAGTCAGGTTTTAATAAATCTTTGTTCAGTTAGAATATTAGACTACTGACTAATAGTAGTTCCTGAAGTAATGAAAATTTCAATAATTTGTGTTCAAAATTTGGTAAGTGAGCCTTTTTGTTTTCGCAGAATATGGTATAGAGTATTCTAAATCAGCATTTGAAGCAACATTCCTGAAGAATTTACAAAAGGTTTTTTGCATATGAATTTTTTTCCACTGAGAATAGTTTCATCTAAACAACTCTCGTAAAGGTGTGTCTGTGTTTTCCGTTCTCATTTTCGCCATGTTTACCTTTTTTATTACTAATATATTGTATGTTCCTCGTATACGAAATATCTTCTCGTTCATCTTCTTTATTTTAAACTTATTGCGTAAAAATTGCAAAATTACCTGTTTTTGTGATGCCATCATCTTTAAAGTCTAACCATAATAGTCAATGAAGAAATTTTGCGCTAGTAGTAAAAGTAAAAGCACTAATGCAAAACATTGGAAGCACAGTAATACGTTTTTTCAATGTAATTGTTCCAGAAATCTTAGCCGACTTTTGAAAATACAATAAAGAAACGTATACAGCATTAGCAAAAACGAATACAAATTATTTAAGAACTGAAAGAACGTTAGAGCTTTGGATTGGACTGAGACTTAATATCAGTGAATATCAGTTACAAATAGGTGAAAAATCACCCATAATATCAAGTTATTTTACAGCGGGATCAAATACGAGAAGCGTTTTTCTAATAAGTAGGCTTTTTTGTTTAGTAACTCTGAAGTTAAGTAATTTTAGAAATGTTCTTAAATTATAAGCAGTGTAAAAAACACAGTTTACAAACACAAATCCCAAAAGCATAACACAGTTTACAAAAGGATTTTAAATGCGAAAGAAATTCACTTAAATGATCTCAAATTTTATCATAATTAAACAAATGCAAACCCAGTATTTTGCATATTTCATAAATTGCTCATTATGTCCACCGTTGCTGATCTAATGGACACCTTCGTAATTAAGTGGTTTTTCCGTACGCGTACCAAACATATCACGATCGATCAGGTCCGTGACAATGGTAATACGGTTACGAAAATCCTAGAGATTAGCGATGAAAACAAGTATTACGGCAAACGTTATGTAAGATAAATTTCGAAGACTCTCTGATTGAAATACTCTTCCAAATGACCTCAATAAGAGTTTCTGGGTAATGAGCCAGACAACTGCATTTCTAAAATAGGTCCTCGCCGCTGTTTATATTTAGCTGTGGCATCAGCAAGCTTTCTAATCGGTCCAAATAAATCTAATAGCATATAGGTAGCTATTGAACCCAATAGCATATAGGTAGCTATTGAACCAGCAAAGGTGACACATTCACTGTTTCTGAAATACATAACAAATTAAGCCTAAGCTATAATTTCGCATAAATTTCTGTTTCCAATCTTGCTTGCCTTCATAATTTTTAATTATTAACTGCCATTAATTTTTAATTCACAATAATTTTTATCAGCACTTTCTTCCTTCGCTGTTACAGGTGGAATTCTCAGCTCTCAAGTCGCCTTTTATCGCCGTTTCTGTTTTTTTAGCACGTAGTTAAAATAAATAACAGTTTTAAAATGTTACCAGTTTTCAGTTTATAGAATGCAAAATTTTTCACATCATTCGTGATTTTCTTTTCCTGCAGATACGCTTCAATGTCCTCGCACATGGGATGGATGGCAATGCTGGTCAGATACACCAGCAGGGCAGACGGCAGAAAGTCTCTGCGAAAGTCACATTTATTTCATGAGTGATCCTCCACCTTGTCCCAGTAAGTAATTTGCCGTCTATTTTACAGTAATAGTACTCTTGAACTTCCACTAGTATTTTTCATATACTTAACATTCAAGAAAGAATATTATAAATTGAATATTCTGAAACATTTATCGTACCCATGCAGGAACAAAATGTTTCAGAATAAAATAAAAACTTTCATGAAAACAATTTCAGTTCTGAGAATTTAGGATATTGAAAAATTATATTTATCTTTTATGAAATCCATAAGGCAAAAAAGTCTAGTTAACAAAATGTTCCAGATGCTACAATGAAATAAATTTTTTACTAGAAGTGCCTGTTTAGAATCAATATTTAAAGAATTAAGGTTTGAAGTTATGTTTTCTGAATATCTTTTAAATCACGCTGTTATATTGTAAGTTCATAAAGTGTTTTAAATTACATAATAAAATAAACTGTGTACGGAATATGAGCAAAACTGAAATTAATTTTGCTAATATTTTCAGAAAACAAAACGTCTTAGGAATGGATTTAAAGGGCAAACAAACTAAGATTAGGCTAGAAAAATAATTTTACTTTAAAGTATTAAAATATTTCATTGTTGATCTTCTGATTAAGTATTTAATTTATTCGTATACTTACAATAAATAAAAATACTTATTTCGTTGATCAATATCTAAAAAATTTTAAAATTTTTATTGTTGTTCTCATAATAATTGATTTTTCTTCTATAAATTCAAGAAACATATTAATTTTATTGATCAATAAAATGTATTTGAAGTCTTTAGTCAACTGTAACTTTATTTCTTGAAATTACAGATTCTACTTCGAGTGCGTTTTATTTGTCTTTCTCTACATTCTGATTTATTTTTTTTTCCTTTTATTTTATTTAAGAAAATGTGCTATGTGCTAACTACTTCATCCATTTTCACCGAAATCCATGCCATTTATACATTAAATAATAAAATTCAACAACATTTATCCCAAACTGATTCTGGTTTTATAAAGAGAATTTATGCATTACAATAAATAATATAATTGATAATTGTTGCAGAACTAGAAATCTTAAAAAGTATTGATAAGTTTATCAGATTTTACCTTAATTAGTTAATAAACACTAGAATACTTAGCTTATTTAAGGTAAGATGGTTTAAGATAATTTTTAAAGGCTATTTACTTTACCTATATATCTTATATTAGCAGCAGACTGTTTGTTTCACAGATTCCTGTGGTCTACAAAAATTTCTTCATAAGCTCCCCATGCATAAAAGAGGTTAACAGAAAGGTTCAAAACAATTATTCACAAAAGCATAAAGTCTTTAAAGCTTATTGACACAAATATTTAAAATATTTTATTATGACTTAAACCATTCGTGATAAAATTGGTTCTATGTAGAAACCTTTGAAAATTCAGTTTGTTTGTAAATACTTGCTTGTAAATGCAGTTTGCTCTTGTCTGAGTAACATAATCTGCAGACTTGCAAAATTTCTATTTCAATTTGTAAACCTGTGTGCGTTTATAAATATGTAGACGTTCATCGTGTCTCTTAGAAAGGTTTGGGTTTCAAAAACATAATATTCACAACGAGTTCGCATTATGGATCTGCTTGATCTATATGTCTGTAGAATATTATAATGAAGATTCAATAGATATTTAAAATTGTTTGATTGTTACAACGTAATCCTAGAAACTGCATTGGTGTCGGCTTGTTAGGTAGCTAAAGTCCATAACATTTAACACACAAGATCCATTATGCGAACTAGTCATATTTCGCTAATATACAAGTTGATACCAGTATGCATTACAAATGCATATTTTACAAAACCTCTTCATTAATGCTAAATCTCAGGTTTTTGTCTTACACTGGTGGGCAGTTGCTAAGGACGAATGACAGTGGCTGCGATAGCAGCTCTCAGTAGAAGGCAGAAAAATACGTAAATTTGCATAAAATGCGGGACACAATAAGACATATTGTGCATATGTAAATTTTGGATTGCCGAAGTGGTAGAGCTCAGCACGTGGTAGCGTTAATTAGCATTCGCGTGGTAGCGCTAATTATAGGATTTGACGCGTATTGACCGTTGTTATTCAAACTAAAATTTAACGGGAAAGTAATTGCAATTTTAGTGGCTTCGCGACACCATTTGGATGATTTTACGTGTGGTCGACCTATTAGCCAGATTAAAGAGGGAAGAAAATTACAGATGTTGCGAGGAGTTTAACATCAGCCACATGGCTGTTTCAAGGCTGTAGAAATCATTTCAAGCAAATCGAATGTTTAGCAAACAACAAGGGGATTTGCGTTCGCTGTGCGACACCTGCAGAAGACAGGTACATAGTGCTGTCGACCAAAAGGAACAGGCGCAGCATAGCTAGTGAGGTAACAAATCAGTTACTTGCTGCTACTGGCAAGCCAGTCTTCCGAAAAAGTGTAGCCAGACGTTTGTATCAAAGAGGACTATACGCCAGCCTTATTATGTGCATTCGGTTACAGCCGAAAACATCGCGGCAAAAACATCGCGGACGAAACGTCGCGGAGAAAACAACGCAAGGCGCAAACGTCGTGCTACAAAACATCGTGGGAGAAAGAGAAAACATCTGAGTCCTAAAACATCGTGGTACAAAACATCGTCATCGAAAATAAAGTGGTTCAAAAACTTCGCAGTTTAAAAACATCGTCGTCGAAAATATCGTGGTAAAAATTAAAGTATCTACAAATCATCTCATGACGATAACATCGCAGACAGGCTTTTTTCAGGCTTTAATAACTGTAAATGGATATTCCAATAATGATTTGTGAGCGTAAGATGTAACGAAGGATAATTTTTACTTTCACAGTCTTTTATTGACTAATAAATTTTTGCTGAAAAAGTAAGAAGGAAACTTAAGCATAGAAAATTAAATGCAACTTATAGATTACACTTTTCATGAAAAATTACCAGTAAAAACTTTATAAAAATGATTTATTACTGGCCTCTGTTAGTTAACTATGTCGGTTTAAAATTCTATTGAGTGTTATAAATTGAATTAATTTTCTACGCTTAAGCCTCCTTCTTATTTTCTCAGCAAAAATTTATTACTTAATAAAAAATATGAAAGTAAAAATTATCCTTCTTTCCATCTTGCGCTCACAGATCATTTCGGGAATTTCCATTTACAGCTATTAAAGCCTGAAAAAAGCATATCTGCGATGTTATCGTCATGAGATGATTTGTAGATACTTTATTTTTTACCACGATATTTTCGACGACGATGTTTTTAAACTGCAAAGTTTTTGAACCGCTTTATTTTCGACGACGATGTTTTGTACCACGATGTTTTAGGACTCAGATGTTTTTTCTTTGCGATGTTTTCTCCTACGATGTTTTGTAGCACGACGTTTTCGCCTTGCGTTGTTTTCTCTGCGACGTTTTCGTCTGCGATGATTTTGTTGCGATGTTATCGGCGGACACCGTGCATTCACTGTCTAAACGTCACCGTTCCCCCATTTTCAATGATGTCACCAGCATCGCAATTGGAAGGATGACGACTAGGATTGCCTACTGTTCTCAGATGAAAGTAGGTTCAGTCTCGCGTCTGATTGTGGACGACAACTGATGCGGCATGAGAGTGGTACTGCATATAGTTCGGTAAACATACAGAAAAGAGATGGATATCCTACATGTAATGCCGTGGTATGGGCTGGGATAATTATAAACGCTTGTACGTCGCTCTATATGCTTTCATATGGAACTATGTCTGGCCAACGATACATTAATGTTGTTCTGCTGCCTCATTTTCGCATGTTCCATATCAGTATTGGGGATAAATTTGTTTTCATAGACGACAACGCAACATGTCATAGAACACTCACTGTCCTGGAGTGTCTATCGTGCTAGGCTATTCAACGCTACGTAAGGCCAGCGCGTTCTCCAGATCTGAATCCTATTAAAGATGTTTAAGATGCTTTGGGGAGGGAGTCATAATGTTCGACAACACCCTCCAAACACGAGGACACCCTCATCCGTGCAAGGACAGAAGAAAGGACTAAACTACCTCAACATCTGCTATATAATGTTTTGCAAAGCATGACATGATGTGTGGAACCTTGTCCTCCATGGTGGCCATATCCCGTAGTGACATAGTACGCCAGAATGCCTGCGGATGATAACTGTGCTTTTTTTCACTTTTATATATTCAGTACAAAATGACCATTTTGCCCTTTGAACACTTTTCAAAGACTTCTAGATTTCAGAGCACAATACAATATCTTTATTGTTAAATCCTAGTATTCTGACATCCTTTTATTTCACTTGGCATCCAACCACATTATAGCCGTTTGTGATCACATATAGCCAATGACAAATTCTCCTTACTACTATGACTACAAAACCAACTCAACTTCTAAGCTGCTCTTCTTTTCTACTGAAGTGATCCGTCGTAAGCAATTGTTCACTAGAATATAAAACATCAGCACGATTCATTATATAATTCACCCACTGGAACTCAGTCTCTGCACCCCTCAATTTTTGTGATAAACCAAAATTCTAGCCAGTACGCACAGGAGCCCTAAATAAGACTACATTAGGCATTCCCTTTTAGGAAACTGAACTACAGTATCAGCGGAAAATTCTTTCGATCTTCTAACATAGCATTTAAGTAAGATTTGGGAATCGATACTAACTTCTGAATGCATACGTCTCTTTTCCTAAGAACTAATTCACGGATTTATCTTCAGCCATTTAAGAAAAGAATAGACCCTACCCTCGACGAAGTTCAATAAATTTACGAGGATTTGTTTGAGAACTGGTAAATTTCTGCTCGTTCAATATATGTATTGGTTCGATATCGGCGGTTTCAGTTATCTGTGATTTATAATAGCATGGGAAAGAGAAACTACACTTTTATAAAACTAAAGCGCTCGAAGAGACAATGGGTCGAACATATTCAAATATTAAGATAACCGGCTCAAACATATCCAGCATCAGTGACTTCTCTCACTTGTGAAAAAAATCCCTTGCAGAACTTTTAGGACAGAGGTAATTAAATAACGGGAA